GATAGATAGATAGATAGATAGATAGATAGATAGATAATTAGATAGATCTAATTGGCTTCTTTGAAAATAGTCTGTTTTCAACTTTTCACTAGTTACAGCATTTTGTGAAGTAAAATTCTTTTACGCATTAAATCTCAACACAAAATGTTATTTAATATAGACTACATAGCAATATAATTACTATGCTAAGTATCCAAAACATGGTAATATCGTGGTCCTTTATTGTTATTGACCTCAGTCTGAAATTATGTAGTGTAGCTCTGCATTATTAACATTATTAGCTTATTTAGTCGCTTGTGTGTGTGATTTCCTCATTCGTAAATCAAATGAAATAACGTAAATAAGGAACACTCAAGTTGATTCTTTGTTTCCAAGGGAACTTCGAAGAAGACGGCGAACTTCCGGCGTGATTTCAGTTGCTGCAGCTTCACGCTCACAGAGTGGCGGCACTTAAACGGCGCTGGGAACGATTCTCCTCGGGAGCGCAGAGGGAGATCGCGGCTTGCAAACGCCGGTTTTATAATTGATCAGCGTGAACATGAAGCTCTTGAAGCCGAGTTGGGTCAATCACAATGGTGAGAGCAGCAGTCTGCGCTTTTGTTATGTAGAGAGACGGATCGGGTCTCTTCTGCAGGACTGTTCTTACGATCGGCTACTCTTCTGCTCGTTTTAGCACTGTAAGGATCATAGTAACCGGCTGTTTTTTTAGCTTGGCTGGTTTTTAAGAAGCCACCCATGAATATATGATGTGCACACCACCCATTTTGCAAGTTGCCAAAAGGCAGGCAGACCTCTGACACGAGTTGATGAAGCTGGAGCTGATGACAGTGTTATTGCATAGATACAATTAAGAGTCAATTGTGTGATTTAAGAAATGATCTGGCTATAATTAACAGATTAAATGTAACTTGTGACTTTGTTTATATATGTGGCCTTATTTGCATTTCATTTAACCTGCTTTGGAATCGTACATTTTATGCATTGTGTCCTTTTCTTGTTTGCTATAATTGGATATTTTTTTCCAGACCATGCTCGAGCTGTTTTCAAACTGTTTTTGTGTCATGGGTTTTTGTTTCAGGTAAACCAATATTCTCAGTTGACATCCATCCAGATGGAACTAAGTTTGCTACAGGTGGCCAAGGTGAAAATCTGAACCCTCTAACATCTCTTCTTCTGTCATTCTTTTCCTGACTATATAGTATAGCTTTCAGATAAGCTTAGTTTGTAGAAGGTAGTTTGATTTCCATCCTAATTTAGAGACAGATCATTTGTTATTGGGAGCTAATGTTTTCAATGTGGATTGACAGGTGAGGACTCTGGGAAAGTGGTCATTTGGAATATGGCCCCGGTTCTTCGAGAGGAAGATGAGAGGAACGAGAATATTCCCAAATTGCTTTGTCAGATGGACAATCACTTAGGTATCAATTGATACTTTATTTTTTATCTCTGTGTTAAAAATTTAAATATATGAATAAAGAAAAAATGTTGTCGGTTATTGTTCTCTTAATACTTGATTTTGTTGCATTTATACCACGTATTTTGCTCCCAACAATCCAAAGAAGAATTCCGAGACGTGTCTAGATTGTTTTTCCACTTAAATGTATTTTAAACTCCTTTGGATATGAACTGCACTGACAGAATGTGAGACGAAATGTGTGACACCAATGAATATTCAGTATCTAATTAAATGTTTTATGTAACTTTGTGCATTTCAGCATGTGTGAATTGCGTGCGCTGGTCAAATAATGGCTTATACCTGGCATCAGGAGGAGACGACAAACTGGTCATGGTGTGGAAGAGAGCTGCGTGAGTAAAACGGACCCATGCTTTGTATCTCTTAATTTCTCTCTTCATGCACACAAATGATGAACAGTTAAACACAAATATGTGACCCTGGACCACAAAACCAGTCATAAGGGTCAGTTTTTTAAAATTGAGATTTATACATCACCTGAACGCTGAATAAATCAGCTTTCCATTGATGTATGGTTTGTTAGGATTAGAGGACAATATTTGGCCGAGATACAACTATTTGAAAATCTGGAATCTGAGGGTGCAAAAAAATCTAAATATTGAGAAAATCGCCTTTAAAGTTGTCCAAATGAATTTCTTAGCAATGCATATTACTAATCAAAAATTAAGTTTTGATATATTTACGGTAGGAAATTTACAAAATATCTTCATGGAACATGATCTTTACTTAATATCCTCATGATTTTTGGCATAAAAGAAAAATCCATAATTTTGACCCATACATAGTTTTTTTTTTGGCTATTGCTACAAACATACCCAAGCAACTTAAAGGCACAATATGTAAGATTTTTTTATTAAAATATCCAAAAACCACTAGAACAGTGTTATATATTTTGCTGACTTATGTACTTACACTATCGCAAATGTCTCGAAGAATGTTTAAATCCAGAGAAATAAGCAATTTTAACTAGTGACACGGAGCGTGTCCATAGTGTCATTGTGTCGCCTGCCAATGACGCCATAACCCCTCGATTTTGTTTTGTAGAAAACATGGAAACGCCAAAGACGCTTTAATATGTTGTGCGTTTTAATAGACCGGTGACGACCGCACAGAGTAGCATTATAACAGAACTTTCAAATGTATCTAGTATGATAAAACAGCGCTGCTTTACCCCACATACGCACGACCGGAAGGAGCGGAAGCGCTCAACTGTGGCATAATAAAAGCTCCGCTGCTTTCGAGCCGTGTGTCACGCTCGTTCAGAGCCTCGTTTCACTTCGACGGCTTTCTGTGGGGGAAGAAGATGACAACTCCCATGATTTCCCATGAACTCGCCTTTATCTATTTGTTTATTTTGAATATGTGCCCTCTAGCTGCAAAAATTACATATTGTGCCTTTAAGACAAGGTTTTGTGGTCCAGGGTCACATATGTCAAAAAGAACATTTAGCTTTGTCCAACAATTTAAACTTTATTTTTTAAACATAACGCTTTTAAGATGCTACAGTTATAATATTTTCATACTTTTTGAATATTTATGTTTAAAAGTAAGGATGTGATGCTAAAAATTGATTTTTAAGTCTGTGTACCAGTTGACGGAATGACCTAGATGCCACTTGTGCAAATGCATTGCTTATTATTACCTTACTTTTTCCCCTACGCAGATTGTTGCCTTTTTTTGTTTATAAGACACAAACTGATTCCACACATGCATCCGAGCGCAGGCCTTTGAGGCATTATGTGGTATTTCTTTTGTTGTGCAGTTTCATAGGTCCAAGCACAGTGTTTGGGTCCAGCAGTAAACTGGCTAATGTGGAACAGTGGAGGTGCGTCATGATTCTGAGGAACCACACGGGAGGTGAGGGGGAAAAACGCTGCTCATGGAGATGCTGGATATTGTCTTCAGTTTTGCCATTGTGTGAAGCACATGTGGTGTTCTCTATAAATCTGATTCAGATGTAATGGATGTCGCCTGGTCACCTCATGATGTCTGGCTCGCATCCTGCAGTGTGGATAACACCATCGTTATATGGAACGCTCGAAAATTTCCAGGTAAAAAGTCCATTTAGATTTGAGGAAAAAGTCCAGCGATATTGCTTGTTTTGATATATTTGGTAGGGATGTTATTCCATATATATTGTATATCATATTGTATCATGAGCTGAGTGAATCGTTGCATCCCTAATATTTGTAATGCAATGTCATTAAGTGTGGCTTAAAGGAACACTCCACTATTTTTGAAAATAGGCTAATTTTCCAACTCCCCTAGAGTTACTGTAAACAGTTGAGTTCTACCGTTTTCGAATCCATTCAGCCGATCTCCGGATCTGGTGGTAGCACTTTTAGCTTAGCTTAGCATTCGCCAACATAACCAACGTGACCACCTGCTTGCACAGAAGCCTTCGAGCCTTCCGTTGGAAGTTACCTAGCTGGGGACTATTTTCAGGCGCTGCGTAATATCATTGCGCCTGCTGCACCCATGGTACGGCAGCAAAGTTCCTTGATTATTACGCCGGAATGAGAGTATAGTTCCTAGCCATATCGGCCTAGAAAATCGCAACTTTTCATTTTCCGTCGGTCTTAGTACACGATGTAACTACAGAAGAGTCAAGTTTTAAATAGGAAAAATATAGAAACTCTTTGGTCATTTTTGAGCGATGCTAACGGTCTAATCAGATTCAATGATCTATGCTAAGCTAAGCTAAAAGTGCTACCGCCAGACCCGGAGATCGGCTGAATGGATTCGAAAACAGTAAAACTCAACTGTTTAACTCTAGGGGAGTTGGAAAATGAGCCTATTTTCAAAAATAGTGGAGTGTTCCTTTAAGTGCCCAAATACTTTAATGGCCACCATAGTATCTAGAAAAGCTTCATCAGGGAATTTTATAAAGGTTTGGCTTCTGTATCAATAAATTCAGTTCTGAATCAACGCTTCAAATGCTGCATTTTGTATGTGTATGCCACAGAGATTGTGATGACTTTAAAGGGACACACAGGGCTGGTGAAAGGCCTGACGTGGGACCCTGTTGGAAAGTACATCGCTTCCCAGGCTGATGACCGTAGCCTGAAGGTCTGGAGGACCATGGACTGGCAGCTGGAGACAAACATCACCAAACCCTTCAGTGAAGTAAGACTTCAGAGTTGAAACTGTTGGCCAGAAATGGCGGTTTGGACTTGTATTTACTCTTTTGTTTAGTTGTTTCTTTTTTGAGTTGTTTACATGCCCGTGACCCTGTATTCTCTCTTTTTTTTCCTCCTCTTCTCTCTTGCTTTGATTCAGTGTGGCGGCACTACACACGTCCTGAGGCTGAGCTGGTCTCCAGATGGTCAGTACCTAGTTTCAGCTCATGCCATGAATAATTCTGGGCCCACAGCTCAGATCATCGAACGCGACGGCTGGAAGACCAACATGGACTTTGTGGGTCATCGAAAAGCTGTTACTGTGGTGGTTAGTGTTGTTTCAAATCTGTAATATTTCACAGAAAAGCATACATTGAAATATCCGTCATAGTTTGTACTGCAGTGTTTCGATGAAATCATGATTTTTAAAATGGGCTAAGCTCTAGAATTTGATTTGTGTTTCTTATTGAGTGCTTTATTAATTCTTTTCCATCTCTTTGCAGAAGTTCAATCCTAAGATCTTTAAGAAGAAACAGAAGAATGGTAGTACACCCAAACCCAGCTGTCCGTACTGCTGCTGTGCTGTGGGTAGTAAGGACCGCTCACTCTCTGTATGGGTATGAGACTTCTCAATATCACCCCTTATTTTAGCCTTGTTTTCTATTTTTGCAGATTGGTTTGGCCCCACTACAAAAAAAACAAATTCTATTTAAAATTAAATTATAAATTTGTGCAAAATCAAGGGACACTAATAAAATCTCAATTTACAATTTAACATAACTGCTAAGCTGAATTTTAAGTAACCATTAGTTTCGTCTTCGGTGTCACGTTCCTTCAGAAATCGTTGTAATATGCTGATTTGGTGATAAAAAACATTACTTATTATCAGTGTTGAAAACACTGTTTTTTTTTCTCACAGTTCTTTGATGAATAGAACTTTCAAAGGAAAAGCATTTATTTGAAACAAATAACTTTTGTAACAATCTAAAAGTCTTTACTGTCACTTTTGATCAATCCTTTCTGAATAAGAGTATTATTTTCATTCAAAACAATCTTACTGACCTCAAACGTTTGAATGGTAGTTTGAAAAATGTTGTGGTTATGCTCTAGGGCTGGGTAAAAAATATCGATATCTTGATATTAATCGATTATCATTTTTACGGAACAATATCGATTCTTAAATCCCGAGAATCGATTAGTCTAGCCTGTTTTCAGTTAATGGACGGAACGTTGAAGGGCACCTCCCATGCAATAAATCACAATAAGCATTGTGCTTTGGTACTTCTCATATGAAACAGTATCAGATTTCAAATTCTGTCCATTGTATTGCATTATTCAAACAATAAATACCGTTTTGGCGCTGTTTAATGCGGAGTGACAGATCGTTGTAGCGCCTCAGTTCAACAGACGCAGCAGCGCGAGGCGCACGTGAACTAATCATCTCCTCCACATTAATACCAGTTTCAGCACAAAATAAACATGACTAAACATCCGAAGGTAAGTTAAAAGAAAGAGTACAACTTTACAATCCGTATCCTGTCTCATGTAAGCTCTCAATAAGTGTTTCAGCCGCGCAAAGACGTCAATATAACGTCTTGTCACGTAACGTCACATTTACCTCAGAAAAACATATTTGGTGACCATTAACTCATTAATCAGAAAAATAAACTGTAGAGAGGGGCATTTTGCTAAATATATGCACCATATAACATATTCATTATACATTTTACTGTTCTTCGTGTTTAATTTATGTTTGAATAAATCCATCAAGATTTTATGACAGCCACCATTATGTTTATATTAAAAACCAAAAAACAAATTGAAGTAGAAATATTATGTAATTGTAACTTTATTATTTTAAAAACTTCATTAAGTGAAATTTTAAGAAATCAGTCAGTTTTAACCTTCAATATTATAGTAATGTAGTACCAACTGACTCTCATGTATATTTTACAGCATTGGTTGAGAGATTGTTTTTCCTTGAGGAAATTTGGCATGTACTGTAGCTGATATATATTCAAAATAATCGATATTGAATCGAATCGAATCGCAAGTTTGTGAATGAGAATCAAATCGTGAAATTTGTGTCAAAACCCAGCCCTATTATGCTCTGCTTAAAAATATTGTTTAATGTTCAATATAAAACAGAAAACTGACAGGATAAAGCGAAAAATCACATCTTGTCCATGTTAACGAGTTTTTGTCCTTACCAGCTGCAACCATGGCAATATGTTTTGGCATGTAGTGCCTCCCACAGTGAAACCTTATTGGTTCAAAGCTCCAAAAAGCTGTTTAAGAACTAAATATGTTGTGTTCTTATTCTGTTTTACCCAGTATTTAAAGAATGGCACATATTCATGCAGTGTAAGGGTACGATTTCTGAACGTTAAGATGACGCACCTTCAGTTATCCTGCTCTTGTTTTTCAGCTCACCTCACTCAAGCGCCCACTGGTGGTCATCCATGACCTCTTTGATAAATCCATTATGGATATTACATGGTAAGAAAACAGCTTTTCTATTTTCCAAGTTTTATAAAGCATCATAGACAATGTGGTGGGGTGAAGACTTACATGCGTGAGAGTATTGTGAACGGATTGTATCTCTCAGGACACTCAATGGGCTGGGACTCCTGGTGTGCTCCATGGATGGCACTGTGGCTTTCTTGGATTTCTCACAGGATGAACTGGGAGATCCCTTGAATGAAGAGGAAAAGGTGGAGAAAATGTGCACACACCAGTGTCAACGTTATTTAAGTATTTAAGGCAACAATAACTTTTCAGTTGTATAATTGAAAAACTGGAATCTCACTTAAGTTGTACACATTTAGTGAAGTAGTATTTATCTATTTATTTAATAATAAATTAATTGTTTCTTTGAACCATTTGTTGACACAAGAAAATTGGTTCATTCTAGGGATGTTCATTTCGGTTATTTTTCCTAACCGATGCTCGTTAACCGTTAACCGACAAGATTATTTTAAATTAGAATTGAATTAAATTAGAAAGTATAAGTGGCTGTGACCCGTTAAAAATACTAACATTTCTTTCCCGGGGATTAACTTTACATGCGCAAAAAGCAGCAAACAACAGAACATGAGGATTCACATGGTCATCATATCACATCATGCACCTGCAGCGCTTCTGCGAGCGGAGAAAAACATCATAAAGCTAGGCTATATATATATATATATATATATAACGAATAAATAGGCCTATACGAGAAACATATTTTTACTTAATAAATTAAGAAAATGAAAGAAAAACTGCAACAAGTAGCCTAGTATGCAGAGTTTCGGTTCATTTTTGTGCTGTGCGAAAGGAAACAAGTGGCATCCTATTTTTCTTTAGGATTATTTTACAAAAGCACAAAGATTAAACTGTAGTGTTTTAAAAAAATGTAGTAAAATCTGTGCCGTTGTGTTATCACCGCACCGCCGTGATGTTATGCAAAACATTTTGTTTTATGTGGATATTGGAACGCGAGTGAAGTAGGCTACATAATAAATAATAATTTGCCATTCAAATACATCGCGAATACGGAAACATTTGATTTTGTGTGGAATGAGAGACCCAACGTTTTTGGGTTTTGTTTTAGCCTTAATGAATTCGTTTTGGCTTGTCGTTTATATTGCTATAGCTTCTTATATTTTTAATTCTTGTTCTTTTCTAAATACTGTTAATTGAAAGGATTTGTTGTGGAGTGAGGGGAACTAAAATAGCCTAGATATGTTTACAGTGTTTATTATAATGTTTGTAAACATTTCGCATCGGAATTAGGCCAATTTCTGAATGAAATAATAAAATGCGACTTATGTTTTTTCCCCCTAAAAAACATTTGTTTTTATACGCATAGCGTATTTTAACCATGCAGCAAACCTTTTTAAATATTTTGATAAATTACTGAAAAAATAAATTAAATGACTTTTAAACCATTTAACTGATTGTATTAATCGGTCAAAATTCTTACGGTCGGTTAACCGGTTAAACGGTTAAAATGAACATCTCTAGTTCATTCAGAATGTTACACTAAATCAAAGCTTCCAGTCCTACTTAAAGAGATGCACAAGACATTGTGGGAGAGTGTTTGCTAATTGCCTTTGCCTGCTTAATGCAGTGTGACAAAAACAGCCATGCAGCATTTAAAAAAAAAATCGCTTGTTACAGGAAAAGCCAAACTGTTTTGAAAACAGCTGAGCTACAGTCACGCTTCTGAAGAATGTAAATGGCTTAATAGCTTTGCTACTTTTGGTTAGTTATTTAGCACACACAAACTAACAAGGTGGCGGAAAGACTCGAGTCTCCAAAATAAGATTTCTGTATATCTTTCTGTAGAATGCTATTCATCAGAACATCTATGGAAAGAGTCTGGCCATCACGATGGAGTCCCAACTTTCCAGCACAATCATTGAGAACCCAGAAATGCTGAAGTATCAGCAGGAGCGGCAGGGGAACCAGAACCCCAATGAAGCCCAGGGAATCGGTCCTGAGAACCAGACACCCAAACTCACCAATGTGCTCAACGGAGAGTCCCTGGAGGACATCAGAAAGGTCAGAAGAAAGAATATGTAACCATACACACAGCAGTGCTATTTTAAAATTATTAAAATGGATATGCTGAATGATGATGTGGTAAGTAATGATTGCTTACTAGTATTTCCACCTCCAGCCATGGCTGGCTTGCAAGTTTACAAAATATAGTTTCCTGCTCTGTCAAATATTTAAAATCCAAACCACGTCTAGCAAAATTTGTTTGCAGATGGTTTGAGATTTAGGTATCTGAATATATCAAATTGATATATTTTATGTGTGACTTAAGATTCTAAAAGTGTCCAAGTACTTTCTGGGACTAAATGAAATACTTCTAATGAGTGGTTATGTAAAATTGTAATAGTTTACATGCATATTACATGCAAATACATAATGTGTGGGTGTGTGATATTAAATAATTTGCATACAATTTGCATGCACATCTGCCTGTCTCTCTGTCTGTGTATGAATCTGTATATTTATTTATCATTTAATACCATGATGGTCGTAGCATTGTAGTTTGTGAAGATTTATCCGAACACTTTCATCCTCAAACATCATGTTTGCAGGACTGCAGTTATTAACAAATGGCTTTTTTTTTTTTTTGGATTGGGCAGAACCTCTTAAAGAAGCAGGTGGAGACCAGAACCGCAGATGGGAGGAGAAGAATCACACCTCTCTGCATCGCACAGCTCGACACGGCGTAACGAACGCGCACAAGAACACGTCTAAAATGATCACTCACCTATACCACAGCATACGCTCGGTGTCTGAATGTCTCTTTCTTTTACCCAGGGACTTCTTACCAGCGTTGTTCAACAGCGTCCCAATCTTGCCGGGGTCGTCTGCATCGACTCAGCTCACCCCTCAGATCTCTTCGGATTCTAGTACGGCCAACTCGCTTGGCTTGCGACCCTCACATGACCCCACCACCACCTCTCCCAACAAAACTGCGGAAGACAACAAGGACAGGTAAGTGTACATGTATGCAAAGTCCCATTTCCCCTCTCTCTCAACCAATACTTTTTCTTTCTCTGGTCTCTCTTGTAGTGGAACTGCAGCTGTGAACTCGATCGGGATGAAATCGAATCTGCTGTTGACATCTGCCTCCAAGATCGAGCCCATGAAAGCGCTGGATTCGCGATTTACCGAAAGGTCAAAGGCCATGCCAGGGGTCACTAGTGTACCCCTCACTATAGGCATCACCCCACTTGACAGGTAATAAAGTCTGCATGATAACCGGTGTGTTCTTCTAAACTGAACTTAAAAACAAACTGAAGTTGTTTTGTGGTTCTGTCTCAGGGTAAAAGACAGCAGCTCTGTGAAGGAGCCGAAAGGAAAAGATGAGACCAGCAGCGACAGTGAGGACAAGATCATGGTGAAATCTATTGCCAAGAGGAAGGGAGAGATGGAGGGAGCAGAGGTGGTAGAGAAGAGGAAGAAGGGAAGGCCGAGGAAAGATGCCAAAACGATGCCCTTCCCACAGGTGACATTTCTTCTTTCGAAAGATGCCTGGATCTCAAAATCGACGGATGGGGCCTTTTCTGAAGGGGGTTTTACTGTGTAAACGCTAAAGCACAGCATGCTGTAAGCATGTAAAATAAAACAATGCTACTAAAAATTCTGAAAGTATATAAATATTTTAATATGGATTTTTATACATATTATAGACTACTATTCAACAGTTTGAGGTCTGTAAGATTTTATTTTATTTTCTTTTTTTTTATGTTTTTGAAAGAAGTGTCTTATGCTTACCAAGGCTGCATTTATTTATCTATCAAAAATACAGTAGAAGCATTTTTCTATTTTAAAAAGTAATTTATTTCTGTGAAGGCAAAGCTGAATTTTCAGCATCAGTACTCTAGTCTTCAGTGTCACATGATCCCTCAGAAATCATTCTGATATGCTGATTTGCTGCTTAAAGACTTATTGTCAGTTTGGAAAGCAGTTGTTTTGCAGCAGTTGTGCTGCTTAATATCTTTGTGGAAACAGTTTTTTTTTTTTCAGGATTCTTTCATGAATCGAAAGTTCAATAGATTTATACTCATTTATTTGAAATATAAATGTCCTATTGTCATTTCTGATCAATTGAATGCATCCTTCTTTTAACAGAAAACATACTGACCCCAAACTTGTGAACAGTAGTGTATAAATGTGTATATGTGACCCTGGACCTGGACCCTGGTCTTAAGTGTCAATTTTTTGAAATTGAGATTTATACATAATCTGAAATCTGAATAAATTTGGCCAAGATACAACTATTTGAAAATCTGGAATCTGAGGGTGCAAAAAAATCAAAATATTGAGAAAATCGCCTTTAAAGTTGTCCAAATGAATATATATACATACATACAACTTTTTTTAATACATATCCGAAATATAAGAAAAAAAATCTACATTAGTTGACTATGGCTTCTATATTATAATCCCTATATCTTTTATTCCATTAACTTCATGACCAAGGCACATATGAGACCCTGAGGGTCCTTCATTAGAACCCATGTGATTGATTGGTCTTTTCTCTTGTAGACTCCAGTCGAGCCGTCTCGATTAACAACACCTATAGCGGTGTTAAAACTTCCTACCCCATCCATACAGAAATCATTCAGCACTCAGGTATGGCACAAAAACTCTCTACACCCAATACATCAGTCCTGTCTATGCAATTAACGCTCTCGGCAGATCATAATGTGTAATCAGGAAGCTCAAGTACTATGTCTGTAAGAGTGTTAAATGCAATTCAGACATAGACTCAATATCACTGCTGGAGGAAAAAACAGCCTGGTTAATGACCCAGGATCTAAATCAGCTAACAATAAAAACAAGGACTGAAATCTACGAAACGTTCAGTTTGATTAAATGGGGTTTTTAACCTGCGATTAGGTGAGCACAGATGGAGTCACGTATCTGGAGGTGGAGAACGAGGTCTCTGTGGTGTCTGGATCTCGTCTCAGTCAGCTCAAATGGAGCAGAGAGGGGCGAGAGTGGGACGTGCTGCTGCCCAGTCGCATCATCATCGCAGCTGGCAGCAGGTGAGCACACAACACACTGGTTTATGCCTGATGTCAATATCTTGAGTAAAAGTAACTTGCTTTCTTTTTTTCATAGCAATGTTGTTGCTGTAGCTTGTGAGGACCGCACACTCTCTGTCTTCACTGCGTGTGGACGGAGACTGATTCCATCCATCATTCTGCCCGTCCCCATGTCAGCACTTCATTGCTCGGGACACTTTGTCATGGCGCTGACCGCATCAGCCATGCTGTCTGTCTGGTATTGACCCTTCCTCTCGGTTTCTCAATAGAAAAGTCCAGACAAGTCATTTGTTGACTGATGCTAAAAACGTGGCTGTATTTGTAACAGGAGTCAGGTTGATTTGTGGCTTTTTTTACAGGCTAGTGATTATTTACATCAATTCTGAAAGATCTAGATCTGACATTAAATGGCTGGTATTGTCTTTTTTTTTTTTCGGCAGGGATGTTCAGAAACAGACGGCTTTGGTCAAAAATGAATCTCTGAATCCAATCTTATCAGGTGTGATTTTGTTTTCTTCCTCCTTTTTATATCTTTGTTGACCTCATTAATTGACTCTTCACTAAACTCCACCCCCTTGATTTCTGCTGTTCATAAATATTATTGTTACATGGGCTGGAAAAATATTTTTGTCTGCCATTTGTTAACAATAACATGATTTAAAAAAAACTAAGACTGAATAAGAGCTGAAGCTCATGCTTTTCAGTCAGAGGAAAAGCAATTACAAGTGGCACATTAGTGTATTTAGCAAGGACACATTGTTTGATCAAAAGTGACAGTGAAGACATTTATAATGCTACAAAAGATATCTATTTCAAATAAATGCTGTTATTTTAAACTTCCTATTCATCGAAGAATCCAGGAAATAGAAAAAGCGTATCACGGTTTCCACAACAACTGTTTTCAACATTGATAAGAATAAATGTTCTTTGAGCAGAAAATTAGCATATCAGAATGATTTCTGAAGGATCATGTGACACTGAAGACCGCTGAAAGAGTATTGAGTGCTGAAAATTCAGCTTTGCATCACAGGAATAAATTACAATTTAAAATAAATTCAAATAGAAAACATATTTTAAATTGTAGTAGTATTTCACAATGTTTCTGTTTTTTATACTGTGTTTTTGGTCAGATAAACACAGCTTTGGTGAGAATAAGAGACTTCTCAAAAGCATTTAAAAATCTTACGGTACGGTACACAAAACTGCTGAATTACATGAAAAGAGCAAAATGATGGGTAGCAATAATTTGACTAATGAACTATCATAAATCAATTGAAATCTAATAATACCTCATCTCTCTCTCACTCCAGGCACAGATGCCACAGTAAGTCAGTCTTTTTTGACTCAGCAAGGTGTAGCTGTGGTGTCGCTGTCAAATGGAAAAACATACTGCTTTAACTCGTCGCTGGAGACCTGGTGAGTGAAACACAAACCATGTGTTAAGTTTTAACAACCAGAACCTGTTCAAGGGCCGCTATGATTGTCTTTTCTCTTCATCTCTAATAGGAATTTGATCGCAGATAAGCAGGACTCTCTTGTACAGTGCACAGACTTCCGCAATTGCGTGTCCGCTCAGGATGCTCTGGGCTCCATGGGGCCACTGGCCCTAACACAGGGCCGTAATCTAAGGTAACAGCCATTTTAGTACTTTGCTAATGCTGCTTTCTGATTCACAATCACTAGAATTAGCTTTAATACTGATTTTATGAGAATAGGGAAGTCCGCACTAAAACTATAATGATAACAACATAGTAGAACAGAATTGTGGGAATTATTCATTTAAAGAGCTTGAACATTTAAAGGGTTAGTTCACCCAAAAATGATTATTAGGCTGCGTTTTACTCACCCCCGAGGCATATGACTTTCTTCTTTCAGACGAATCCAGTCGGAGTTATATTCAAAATTGTCTTTGATCTTTCAAGCTGTTTAATGCCACTCAGCGGGTGTTTGTTCCAAAGCTTTATGAACATCTTTCTTCTGCTGAGCATGAACGATATTTTGAAAGATAACCAGACTGTTGCTGCAAGCCATTGACTCCCACAGTATTTTTTTTCCATACTATGAAATTTAATGGTTTCTAGCAACTTTTCCGTTACCTTCCAAAGCGTCGTCTTTTGTGTTGCGTCAGTGTATGCTAATATAGTTCTCTTTATTGTTATTGGGGGTGAACAGACCTTAACCGTCTCTCTTTTGTCTGTGTCAGTGCGGGGCGGTTGGCATCTCGCTTGTCATCGACTCCTCACCACTTGCAGCAGGGAATGACTCTGGCCTTCCTGGAGAAGCAGCTCTCCTCCGCCCTCATCCTCCTCTCAGCAAGCGAGTACAGGCACTGGCTTCTAATCTACGCACGTTTCCTCGTAAATGAGGGTGAGTGAGAAGGTGGTCAGCTGGTAACAAGAGTCAAGAGGGTCCATTAAAAGTAAAGCAATAGTTCCCCGAAAACTATAAATTTGCTGAAAATGTATTCACCCTCAGGCCATCTAAGACGAAGATGAGTTTGTTTCTTAATCGGAGCAGATTTTCAATAGCTCTGTGTGTATCCGTGCAGGTTATTTAAAAGTTCACTGATTTACTCACCCTCATGTGGTTCCAAACTTTGACTTTCATGTGTGGAACACAACAGGAGATGTTTAGCAGAATGTCCAAGCTGTTTCTGTTCAATAGAAGTGAATGGGGACTGGAGCTGCTGACCTCTAAAAATAATGAAAAAAGCACCATAAAAGTAGTTTGTATGATTCCTGGCTATACTTTCCACATCTTTTGAACTTATGCTTTGTGTTAACAAGCTGATATTTACATTTTCATTTGCACATATTCAAACCTGACACCTCAAAATGTGTTGCTCGTCTATGTGGCTGTCTGTTGGACATGAGATGACAATATACGTATGACAGTAGTTCTCAAATAAGTTCTTATTTTTGGAAAACAACTTGTCACCCATCAATTATCATGACAAGAACACTCTGAAAAGACTACTTTGTGACAAAAGCCCATCCAATTTAAGTTAAAATGTGATGTTTGTTTATTTGAGTTGTATGAATTATGAATGGACAGGTGACATTTGAGCCACGCTGTCTTTAGCAGAAACAGACAGTGGAGGTCAATGAACGGTCCATCTGTCAGAGAGGAAACCTCACGGGAGATCTCACCACAGAGAAGCTGTCGAGACCCGAGTCTTTTACCATCTCAACCTGTCGACAGATTTGATGGATATGACAGCAGCACACTGTAGTGAAGCTGAACAGGGTTTTGCTTAAATCTATTTGAACACTCACAGGAAAATGAGTTTTGAAGTTATGAATTCCACTCTCATTCTTCATCATTTAGACTCCAACTGCAAAACTAGTTTATCTTGAAGTGAGGAACAGAAAACAGAACTATTTACCTGGAAGCAGTAATAATGGAAGCAGTGGCTCGGTAGCTTTATAGTTTAGCATATATAGGTTCACATGGATACAGGGTTCATATTTTACCCTGGGATAAAGTTATTTCATGCTGCTGAATCTACAGCACCATGGCAAAAGAAGTCATGTTTTGCAGTTCAAATCTAATGTGATAAGACAAAAAGGTTGTATATCAAGAAATAATAGCAAGAAAATACATCTTGCCCTAAGGAGCTGCACGCAATGTAGCCAACAGGACAAACTGTTAAGTCTGATTGACTGACAAACTCTGAAGATGTACTGTTTAAATTAGTCTGATGGATCCTTCACTGAATAAACTCCATCAGTTACTGAATACTGTTACTGAATCAACACCGCTTTATTATTCAGTGATGAAATATTTGAATGAAATACATTAAAATATATCAAATATATATAGAGTAATACATGTATCCATATAAACTGAAATTAACTAAGTACTACGATTTACTAAATACTTAAATTAATCAAATTGAAATAAAATAAATAAAACCTAAATAGAAATGAATAAAAAAAAAAGTTACTAAAATGAAACTAAAATGGAAACTGAAAAATATATGTATACTTTAAATGTATATATGTGACCCTGGTCCACAAAACCAGTCATAAGGGTCAATTTTGTGAAACTGAATAAATAAGCTTTGCATTGATGTATGGTTTGTTAGGATAGGACAATATTTGGCTGAGATACAACTATTTGAAAATCTGGAATCTGAGGGTGCAAAAAAAAATCTAAAAATCTAATCATCTTTAAAGTTGTCCAAATGAAGTTCTTAGCAATGCATATTACTAATCAAAAATTAAGTTTTGATATATTTATGGTAGGAAATTTACAAAATATCTTCATGGAACATGATCTTTACTTAATATCCTAGTGATTTTTTGGCATAAAAGAAAAATGGATAATTTTGACCCATACAATGTATTGTTGGCTATTGCTACAAATATACCCCAGCGACTTAAGACTGCTTTTGTGCTCCAGGGTCACAAATGTATATGTTTACACTGACCACACACACACATATACATATATATATGTATATGTATGTATGTGTATGTGTCATCATGTTGTTTTAGTATTATATATAAAAAACAAAAAAAAACTTACAAAAGCACATAAAATTACTAAAACTTAACTAAAATTAAAATGAACTTGAAAGTATGAAAAAGCTATTACTATAATTAAAATATTCTATAATATAAAATATATATAAAAAAAAAAGCACAAACAAAAACAAAAAACCTTGCTACGTGTACTGCATTAAACTAACCAGAACTTACATATTGTTGCTTAATTTAACAATTTCTGTCAATACTGTCGACTAGACTGCACAGATACTGAGATGGACGATGACATCACAGAGTCAATGACGAACTGACTTTAACTAGAAAGCGTTTACTATCGTCCTTTTTTTCGACACACTATTTTCCTGTTTAATACTGTAAAGCTGCTTTGACACAATCTGTATTGTATAAAGCGCTATATAAATAAAGGTGACTTGACTTTTGTTGTTTTGATTGCTTCTAATGTCCACATTTGTAAGTCGCTTGGGATAAAAGCGTCTGCTAAATGATTAAATGTAAAATATGGTAGCATCGCTGCATTACCCACCATGCAGTGTAAGGTGAGCGTCTGTGGGTCAGTTTCTCCTCTCTCTCTGCAGAAGCAGTGAGCAGCAGGGCCACATGATGGCAGTCCACCTACACCTCTCACTCCTCTTACTACGTCCTGTTTTGTCTGTCCCTCGAGAGAGCTGTGAGAGAGGGACAATGCCATTGCTCTCAAGGTTGAAGCTGGGAGAGAAGCAACCTCAGTGTGTCAGAACTGGTTTTAATACAATATAAATCCTGGTGTTGAAAAGGCTTAGAGTAAAATATATTAACAGCGTCCCTCAGACTGGCACAAACAATGACACTGTGGCCTCTGGCCCCGCTGTCCTCCTTGACTTACTGATGAGAGCTGCAACTTCCTAGAGGGAGGAGGACTACGAACATTAATACTTCACACATTCAGTTTTTCACATTCACATTTTATATGATCTTAACTATCATATTATAATTGTAAAAGTTCTGAAAAGCATAAAACTATAGCAATATAACTACATGCACAACAGCATGTCAGCTGAATTCTATAACACTGCTTGGCAAACATATTAAGCTGTATTTTGTTTTTATTGTATTTATTTTATTCTTGTGCAAAATAAACTAAATTTATCAAAGGCACTGAAGTGGTTTGTTGCTTTAATACATTATTGACAACAATTAGTGACTTTGAAAGAATGCTTTTTTAACATTTAAAATACATATAGCATATTTATTTTCGAATTCTACATTTTCATTATGTCTGTTACATCAGTTATTTGATTAACATCCTAATCTGTGAGTCAATAAAAAATAAAATATACTTACAGAAAAAAATTGGTAACTTTTCCTGGCATGTCTTGGGGGAAATTACACCACTGTTATAATAATTGCTAGGCTTGGAAAATTCTGACATGCTAGCTATGATATCGTTCAGAACGGACTACCGTCTAATTTAGGCATCAAGGTGTGATCATACCAATTGCTATATGTTCAAATAATTTACTTGAAACAGAAGAACAGCCAACATCTCCCTGTAATCAACACCCGTTTATATTCATAATGCTCTCCATGATGAATTTCTTTCCTACACAAAATTAATTGTATATAATTATATGCATGACTTTGCCACTGTAGTGCAACAATTTGATATTTTTACTCCTTCACTTATTGATTATTATAATTAATATCCAAAAAAAAAAAAAAACGTTGCTGAAAGACCAGCATTTAACTGTTGCTTTGATGGAGACGAACTGTTGTTTTCAAGCTGGTCTGTTCGTTGTGGCTTCTGTTCAAATAGAACACGACTTGCTCTCAGCACTCCAAAATGAAAAAACAAAACTCACTCACACTCAGGCCATCTAAAATTGTT